GAATGTCCATTTAAACAATAGTGCTGGAGATAAAGTCTCCTTCTCCGAAAATGGACTAGTATCTGCTCATTATGATCTTCTAAACTGGATTTTCCTCCCCAATCAATCTTTTGTCTCCATGAAAGTTGGGCAAATAGATTCTGGAGCTCCCCCAGGCCAGGATTTTACCATCAACTCCAATGCAATCATCTGGGCCAAAAAGGTGAGATGGAAGGAAATGTTTTGAATTCAAGGAAAGATTCATTCTCTCCTGTATAATGTCTTTTTCACTAGGGAAAAAGAATTGAAACAGGACAGCCATGTGGTCTGCTTTCCATATCCCATATTAAGTCTGATCTGTGCTGTGTCCAATAATGGTTGGAATTAAGAAAAAAATCTTAGTTCAAACCCAGGGTCCAATTAGAGAAGGAATCTTTAGTGAACTTCATGGACTATTCTTATGTAATTGAATAACTGTGATTCTTTCAGAAGATGCTGTAGCTCTAAAGCACAGTTATAGGTAATTCTTGCTTAACAACCATTAGTTCAGCAACTGTTCGAAGTTACTACAGCCCTGAACAAATGGTATTTATTCCTGGTCTTCAAACTTATGGATCTTGGAGTGCCCCTGTGCTCACATGATCAGATCATTATCTTCCCCCATTTCTGCTCTTTTGGCAAATGGCAAAGGCAGATTGTTGGAAAAGACAGATGTAATAAGGGATTGGAGAACCATTTGTCTAAAATGGTATAGGGTATCCTGCCTGAGCAGGGGGTTGGACTAGATGACCTCCAAGGTACCTTCCAACTTGATGATGATGATGATAATGATGATGATGATGATGATGATGATCATCATCATCATCATCATCATCGCACAGTCAGCCAGATGTTCAGTCTGGATTTGGCATTTTGTCCACCTATCGAGTCCTTCCCAAGGACCTGGGATAGGCAGATATGCATGTTTGATGGTATTACAGATATCGTCGCAGAATGGAAGCAGTTCCTAGTAAGGCCGCCTTTTGCAATTGACTGATGGTGAATGTGTCAATGCCGATGATGATGTTCAAGTGGTGCTCCAGTTGTTTTGGGATTGCACCCAAGGTGCCTATGACTATTGGTACTACCCTTGCTTGCTTTTGCCACAGTCTTTCTATTTCTATTTGTAGATCTTTGTATTTTGTTATCTTCTCCAGTTCTTTCTCGTCTATTCTGCTGTCTCCGGGCACTGCCACGTCCACTATCCAGACTTTTTTTGTCTTTCTTATCGACAATTGTTAAGTCAGGGGTGTTATGTTGCAGGTGCTTGTCTGCATCATCATCATCATCATCACAATTATTATTATTATTATTATTATTATTATTATTATTATTATTATTATTGTTATTGTTGTTGTTGTTGTTGTTGTTGTTAAGAATCTTAAAGAAAGGATGCAAAAGGAAGGACAGAATGAAATATAAATGGTAAAAATTAAAATAATTTTTAATTAAAAAAAACCAATTAAATAGAATTGTTAAAATTGTCCTGCAGTGAGTTGTCCTGTGGTGAGTTGACCATGGCGAGTTGTTCCGCAGTGCGTTGTCCCACAGCCATAGTGAGTTGGCCACAGTGAGTTGGCTGTGGCAAGTTCTCCCATTCCCAGTGGGGACTACATGTAGCTTTTTTTACATGAGAGAAGTTCCAATACCAGGCATCAGTTTGTTAGCTGGCAATGCCACTAGTCTTAATTCCCCAGGAGCTCTTCCCAGTTAATGTTACACAATGGTGAACCAGCTTTTATAAAGGCTCTTTGAAGACGAAAATGTCAATGTGGAAATTAAATGATGCACGATCATTGAGTAGACCAGGCGATTTTTTTTTCTTTTTTCTCTCTCAGAAGGTGCCCTTTGCCAGGTGTGGCATGAAGAGATGCCAAGCAGGAGAGAAAAGCAGTGTTCCAGAGGGTGAGCAGGTTTGCTGCTACCAATGTGATCCTTGTCCAGAAGGGACCATTTCCAATAAGACAGGTAGAGTATACTACAAATATATATCTTTCAGGATCAAGGAAGCCATTCAGTAGATCAATATATTAAGAGATTTGGGGTTTGACATTCTTTATGAAATGGATGCAAATTGTCCTGCCCCTGCCTAACTTCCTACCACTGAGTAATGAGAATTGGCAGGACTACTCTCCTCAACAGATTTGCTACAGGATACATTAAAGGCAAAAATGTGCAGATTTCTACCCTTTCCGTTCCTCTTGTCATATACTAATGGGAAAAGAAACTACTGATTATTTTTCTGAATGAATGACACGGGGGGGTTGCGTGTTCAAATTGTGTATTACTTTTAGTTTGTTGTTTCTGTCAGGAGTATCAGTCTCTCTGGAAATGTGTATCAGAGAAAGTAATCAAATCTACCTATGTTTGCTAGCACCTTATTGCAAAAAATGTCTCACCGGATGATAGAAGAAAGTGATTGGAAATAGAGAAATTCTCTCTTCCATTTCCCAATATACATATGTCTGTGTATGTGTCCATGTGTGTGTCACCTTATGATATAATAACACAACAAATGACAATGCAATTCAGGATTTCTTTTTTTAATATAAATTTTATTAATTTTCTAGTTTTACAGTCACATACTTAACAGACAACATGTTGTCTGGGTCTATTAGTAATTCAGTGGTATATATTAACTTCTTCAATCTAGATCCAATATTACACCATCAAATGTTTCCTCTCTTCTTCCAGTAGTACCTGTTTTCCCACACTAGGCAAATTCAATTCATTTTTATTAATAAATATACAATTGAATATCAACATCTTTGTTACATTTTTCTCATAATATCAATAATGTCAGTTTTAGATAACTTTTCTAACCAAAACATATCTTAATTGCATTTGCACTTAATATTGATATGTTCAATCAGTATCCTGTTTTTGCTTTTTTTATTTATTTTAATTTCCCCTCAGTGTTCAAAATGTCTCCATACTTTACAATTTCAAAGTAAGTTATATTTGGGTAACCAAAATTTTCCCTTATTCAAACTTCTTAGCATTTTCCTGTTTTCCTTCTCATACCAAAATCTAATATTCTAATTACAAATCTTATCTTTCTAGTTATGATAATACTTCTATTTCTAGCAATTATCTATTCTCCACCATCTTCAAACATCTAGTTAATAATATAATATCCCATCTAATGGATCAAGACCTCTATTTTCTTCAGTCTTACTCTAGCTTTCTTCCTTTGCCAACTAACTTTACAAGTCAATGCATTTGAATCATCAAGTAATTTTTCCTGTTTTTGTGTATATTGTTTGGAATAAGAAAGACCATTTGGTTAAAGTATTTGTGGAAGAATGAACCCATTGATATTCATTAAACAGTCTCCCTCCTTCTCCAATTCCCCACAGTTCTCCTAACAGCAATAACTTCCATTCAAACAGTTCTTCTTCCTTTTCCTCAAATGTCTAAAATTCTTGATTGGTAAGATGTCTTTTCCATTTCCAATATTATCACTCCGTCTTGTAGTTCTTCAGTTGTCTGAATCTGTTTGTTAATTCCTTCCTTTAGACCCTTCATCTTTGGATCTGCTTCCTCCAGTTTTCCTTCTATTTTCTGAGTGGCTAGTTCCTTCTTTGTAGTCATGTTCTGGGTTTGTAAATTTAGATTAGAAAATTGTACTTTTATTTAATTTGTGTTATTTCTAGTCTTATCACAAGCTAGAGCAATAGTCTCTTGTATTGATTTCAACACGGAGAGAATTTCTTTCTGATCTTCATACATATTTTCTTGGTGGTATATCAAATTGAAGACTTTGGGGACAGGTGTTAGAGATGGTTTTTTACCATTTAAAGCTGAGTATGGGACTTCCATTTCATTTTTTGTAGGTGGTCTTTATAATAAAAATTGTTCATCAATCAAAGATTTGTAATCCAAAATATTCCAACATCTTAAGCAATGAGAGAGCTAATTTCAACAAACTTAGAGAGAGCTTGGGAAGCACTGATCCCACAATCCAATTTTGAATGAAGAATGATTTGTTTTTTACAGAGCACCATAAGCTGCCCAGAGAGTCCTTATATCAATTTCTTTTTGAGTTGGTCTATGTGGAGAGGAGTCATATCTGAGATAGGAGGCAAGAGGGATAATTCTCACTATGAATGCCCCAGAAATACTTAGGCAAAGATTCTTGATTTCAGATGCAGCTCGCTGTGACCCCTGTCCAGAAGACCAATACCCAAACAAGGAGAAGGACCACTGCATTGCCAAGAAGATCCATTTCCTTGCCTATCAAGACACCCTGGGATACATTTTAGCATCTCTCACTCTTTTTCTTTTTGTGATCACATTGGCAGTTCTGGCAATTTTCCTTAAGCATCGTGACACACCAATTGTCAAAGCCAACAACCAAGAACTCACTTACATCCTCCTGGTTTCCCTCCTGCTCTGCTTCCTCTGCTCCTTCCTCTTCATTGGTCGACCTAGGAAGCTCAGCTGTCTCTTCCGACAAACTGCCTTTGCTATTTTCTTTTCCCTTGCAGTTTCCTCTGTGTTGGCAAAAACTGTCATGGTGGTTCTGGCCTTTGTGGCTACCAAACCAGGGAGCAGGGCAAGGAAATTCTTAGGAAAACCACTGACTAACTCCATTGTCTTAGCCTGTCCCCTGGTACAGGCAGTTCTTTGTGTTACCTGGCTGGTAACCTCTCCCCCATTTCTCAATTTGGACTTCCACTCCTTGTTTGGAGAGATCATCTTGGAATGCAAGGAAGGCTCAGCTTTAATGTTTTACATTGTCCTTGCCTACCTAGGTTTTTTGGCCCTTGTCAGTTTCATGGTAGCCTTTCTGTCTAGGAAGTTGCCAGACAGCTTTAATGAAGCCAAGTTCATTAGTTTTAGCATGCTGATCTTTTGCAGTGTTTGGATCATCTTCCTCCCCACTTACCTGAGCACCAAAGGGAAGTCCATGGTGGCTGTGGAGATCTTCTCTATCTTGGCCTCTGGGGCTGGTCTCTTGGTTTGTATCTTTTTCCCAAAATGCTTCATTATCCTATTGAGGCCCCATCTTAATTGTAGGGAAAATATGATGAATAAAAATATCTAACTAATGCATGCAAGGAAACATTTATATTTATCTTAAAAGCATGTTTTGTATTTGATGACATTACTAAAGAACAAGGAACACATCCATTTAATAATGCTATAGCTGGTCATAATAAGAGTCATTTTGTTGAGTTGGGTAGATATTGAAATTGAATCACCCAATCAATCAATAAATCCTCCTGTTTTCAGCAACAATTATGCAGTGTTTTTCATCTCTTGTCTTCCAGTTGTCCCCAGTGAAGCCCAGTCTCCTATGTAGACATGAAGCTTGGTGTTAAAGATGTGTTCATTATTTCAAGGATAATTTCTCATTTTATTCCTTTTAATTAAATATCTTACAATTTTCATGTTTTAAACTGTTTGATTCCATGTCAGTGTTTCTGAGCATATTTATTTCCATAGTCTCCTGAGGTTTTGTAGAATTTCCCCATTACTATTTATTTTTTAATGATAGAATTTAATGGTAGATACTCATCAATGCTGCTATGCTACCTCATCAGTGTGGCTGTCAGATCTTCCAGCAAGCCACTTCATCTTCATTTTGCATTGCTGGCATCCTGCCATAAAAGGAAGGAGGGGAAGAACAGGGCAAGGGAACATAAGGGGGGGATGACAGGAACCATAGAGGCCAATCAAAGACAATGGTTGAGAGATCCAAGGACATACCCCTGAGAATGGAATGCAAACATCCATCAAGAAAACCCCAAAACCAGAACTGTTACCAAAACAATTGTTTTGAATGCTATTGGACACTGATCAGATGACCAAAAGGGGGAGGACCTAAGAGGATTTGGGAGAAGAGAATTATACCAAAATTGCATGGGAATATTCAGATCTGGCTTTGCTTATGCTGTAATTCCAATAGACTTATATACCACTTCACAGTGGTTTACAGTCCCTCTCTAAGCTGTTTACAAAGAACATATTGCCCCCAACAATCTGGGTCCTCATTTTACCAATCTCAGAAGGATGGAAGGCTGAGTGAGCTGGTGAGAATCGAACTGCTGAACCGCAGGCAGCTGGCAGTCAGCAGAAGGAGCCTACAGTACTGCATTCTAACCACTGTGCCACCATAGTTTGACCTTAGTAAAAGTTCAACTTTCCTCTATCAATGGAATGAAGGGTCTTTCTTTCCTAAGTGTCCAAGCTGGGACAGGCTGATAGTGGTGGGGAGTTTCTAATTAGGATGAGAAAACAATGACAGCAGTGTACATATTGCTTTAACTATTCCTTATGCCATGTCACGTGTGCTGTATGACAGTTGCATCCCTATAGAATCTGCACAGTAACTCAAGGCATGATGGTCAGCCCGGAGAAGGTTTTCCAAGAAGAAGTGTGGAAGGCACCACAATTAAATAAAATTGACTGTTATACCCTACACTTTGGCAATTGTATATAGATAACATTTACTGAAATGAACACAATATTTAGCAGATCCATAGAGTTCATATTTCAGCTGGTATAGCAAAACAAAACAATAACAACAACAACAACAACAACAACAACAACAACAACAACAACAACAACAATAATAATAATAATAATAATAATAATAATAATAATAATAATAATAATAATAATAATAATATATCAGTATCTATCTCCACTCAGCCCCCTCTTTCATGAGCTTTAGAATTGAGTTTCTGCTAGACACAGAAGGCTCATGCTCATCCCTCCAGGACCAAAAGAGACTTTTAGTCACAGATTTATGTCTATGAGATTCTCAGTCATCCAGGTCATGATTGTCCCAAAGGTGCTTTTTCAGGAGGCAACTGTACTTTCTTCTTTTTCTTTGAAGACATTTCACTTCTCATCCAAGAAGCTTCTTCATCTGTAACTGGATGGTGGGAAGTGGAAGGATTTATATTCCTTGCAGACAGCTGGTCATTTGCATTCTTTTAGAGAGTCTTTGAGGCCATTTGGAGGTTTATCTGAGGATCATCTGAGTAGTGCAAATGACCCTGAGGACACAGATAAACCTCCAGGTGGCCTCAACAACTCTCTAAAAGAAGGCAAATGACCAGCCATCTGCCAGGAGTATAAACCCTTCCATTCCACTCCATCCAGTCAGAGCTGAAGAAGCTTCTTGGATGAGAAGCGAAACATCTTCAAAGAAAAAACAAGAAAGTCCAGTTGCCTCATGAAAAAAGCACCTTTGGGATTAGACACAGATTGTTACCTTACACATACTTCTAAATGGTGTCCTTATGTGGCAAAAGGGACACGGGGTCAAACTGACCACAATACTCTGCCCTGATAGGTGTCATTTCCCTCTCCTTTTTTACATCATTTTCTCCTCTTTTCTGAAATGTCTAAATATGAATGCATCTCTTTCAGTTCAGGGGTGCATGTCTCCCACTAATGGAGACTTTCTGCTTCTGTTCTTACCATCATTCTCAATTCTGCCCTCTCTACTATTTTCATGGGTGTTCAGACTCTCCACAGATCAATATCATCCTGTTCAACAAACTAAACCTTTACAAAGACCTTCCTGGCCATGGCTACCATTTGCTCCTTGATCAGGAGCTGAGGGTCCAGGGAGAGATCCAGATTGCATAGCAGTCTTGAGCATAGCAGTACAATGTCATGTAGGACGAAAGCTAGAACTGAGAAAACCAGCCATCCACAGCTGCTTGGTTTTACTAGGATGAAAACTGAGACTCTTCTTCTTCATCCAATGACCTTCAGCCACTAGGACAAAACCTGGACAGCATTCAGTGTTCAGTCAAAAAAACCTCCTCCCTTTTTACAACCCTGTAGTCCTGATTTGGGATAGAGTTGGAGTGACTGGATGGAGCTGAGCATTTACTAGCCTGATGTCCTTCCTGACACCTACATGGAGTTTTCAGCAGATATTTTTTTCTTTGCACCCTAGGAGAAAAATATCTGCCACTGTCTAGGATTGAAAACCTTCCAAGTGGGAGGCGAGTGTCTTCACCATTAGGCCATCATGCTGCTCAATGAGTGGTGAGTCACTGGTTGTACAATTGAATATCATTAAGATATGGATGATGCTTGAGCTTGAAATAAAAAGGCCTCACTGAGATACCTTGAAAATCAGGAAGATCAATGGCTCCCCTCCAACAGAAAGAACTTCACAGAATAGAGAGAACCACATAAAATCATACACTCATTCTTATGATCCCAGCTAGTCCAGAAGTTTAGCATGGGTGATGGTATCCTTCCCACACCAGCTGAAAGTTCTGAAGACATACTTCACAAGACAAAGATAGAAGACAAACTTTTCTGGGTCCAACTACCCTGTTTCCCTGAAAAGAAGACCCAACCAGAAAATAAGCCCTAGCGTGATTTTTCATGATGCTCATAATATAAGCCCTACCCTCAAAATAAGCCCCAGTTAAAAATGTCAGCCAGATGGATGCATTTAGTACTGAATTTTCCCCAAAATAAGACCTAACCAGAAAATAAGCCCTAATGTGTCCTTTGGAGCAAAAAATAATATAAGACCCGGTCTTATTTTTTGAAAAACACGATAGTTGTTAGACAACACTCCTGCAGAGTTTAAACTAAGCTAACATCTTGAGAGATCCTCCTACCTATTTTTACCATTTATGTGAGAAATTAGTTTTATGTGAGAAATTAATTCTTTCCCCTGTCATATGGTTATAAATAAACCAGTTATTCCACTGAAAATTGATACTATTATTCACACTTAGTAGGGTGGAACTGATTGTCAGGTGCCACCATGCCCATTAACACTCAGGCCAAACTCCATGTTGTGTGTAGTTGCTCAGTTTTGTCTAGGCCAAACACTCAACTTCACCTTGACTCCCAAATATGGGAGCTGGTCTGTGGATTAACAACAAGAGACACAAACATGATTTTCCCCTTCTGGTGTACAAACAAAATCTAGCACTAAATGATAGGATGATTGCTTTTCCTTGCAATTATCAGAAGAGCAATAATTCTTAATGTATCCCCTGTGGATTTCTACACACAAAAATCTTTAAACCTGCTTTAAAGACATGTAATCTTAGCATGTCTTGCAAAGAGTGAACTCCAGGATTTGGCAAGACTCAGCCGGCCTCAGTTTTCTCTTTGGTCACAGCCCAAACACAGATAAGAGGAAACATGGTTGATATAAATTTGCCCTGAGGCCATCCAGGTGGCACAGCCAACTTCTATTGTTCTAAAGCTCTGGTGAGATTTCAAGTGCTACCTGCAATTCAGTTTCTGCACAAACCTTGATTTTTTTGATCCAGGAAGGAAGTTGACAAGAATGTCTGGGTTGCCATTCCTGCTGCTGCTCTTCTGGCTCCTGTCCCCACCTGCTGCTAAGAGGATGCCAGCCGAATGTGTGTTGACAACCCCTTTCCAGGTTCAGGAAAAATTGAACTATTACAGGTCTGGTGAACTCATTATTGGTGGGAATTTTCTCCTGACAACCATGATTTCATCCAACATCCCAGACTTTCAAAAACGCCCAACTTTGCTTCATCTTAAACTTGTGTAAGTTTTTATCTGGAAAGGAAATATATAGATAACTGTTTGTTTTGTTTTGGATTCAGGAACTACTGTCTGAAATACTTGTTCTAGTGATGTTTCTAATGTCCTCCATCAATGTGTTTAAAAGCCTCCATCGCTGGAGGGTTTTAAGAAGAGATTGTACAGCCACTTGTCTGGAATGGTGTAGGGTCTCTTGTTTGTGCAGGGGGTTGGACTAGAAGACCTCCACGGTCCCTTCCAACTCTGTTATTCTGTTAACAGAATAACAGAATAATGGAAGGGACCTTGGAGGTCTTCTAGTCCTACTTCCTGCTCAGGCAGAAAATCCTGTACCATTTCAGACAAATGGTTGTGCAATCTCTACATAAAAACTTTCAGTGTTGGAGTATTCACAACTTCTAAAAGTAAGTTGTTCCACTGATTAATTGTTCTAACTGTCAGGAAATTTCTCTTTAATTCTAGGCTGCTTCTTTCCTTGATTAGTTTCCATCCATTGCTTCTTGTTCTGCCTTTATTCTATCCTAGTGTAGTTCAAATCTTTGTGCTTTTCTCTATAGCCTGTCAAGCTCAAAAAACAGGCTTTAATTCTCAATCTTTCCATAAGTCTTAATTAGGAAGATAACAAACTACATAAAAAGTAAGGCGGAACAACACCTTAGAAATTATGCTAGTCTCCTAAAAAAGTTGACTTATAATATTGATTTGAAAAAAAAAAACCTGTGGAAAAGTTAAATTATTTTATAGCGTGGGCTACTGAAAAACAGATAAAATTCAGTTTTGGAATCAGTGCTTATGAATAATAGCTTTCAGGAAATCTATGCTGTGACTCCAGCTTGTGCTGAGCAATGGTTACCAGATCAGAAGAATCTGCTCCAAGAGAGAACCAAGTTGATTAGGGTGTTAAGAGGAAAAATTGGGAAAGATTAAACAGAATAGAGCTGGAAGGGACCTTGTAGGTCTTCTAGTTCAATCCCCTTCTCAAGCAGGAGACCTTATATCATTGCAGACAAGTGGATGTCCACTCTCTTCTTAAAAGCCTCCAGTGATGGAGCAACCACAACTTCTGAAGGCAAGTTGTTCCACTGGTTAATTGTTCTCACTGTTAGAAAGTTTCTCCTTATTTCCAGGTTGCTTTTCTCCTTGATTAGTTTCCATCCATTTTTCTTGTCCTGCCTTCTAGTACTTTGGAAAATAAGTTGACCCCCTCTTCTTTGTGGCAGCCCCTCAAATACTCTAACACTGCTATCATGTCACTCCTAGTCTTTCTTACAGGCTTTGGAGCAAAGTGAAGAAGCGAGGGATGATAGAAGGGTATAAAATAGTCTGTGATATGGAGAAGGTTTTTTTTTTTCATTTTTCCCAGAGCCATTCAAGTTTAATCAAGAACCTTTCTTTAAAAACCCGGCAAACCAATCAACTTGCACAACATCGGAGAACAAACCCATCAGGACAAGATTCAGCAGTTCATCTGCATTTAAAAGACATAGGCCACTCTTTTGAAGACAGCAAAGTCCACATTTTGGACAGAGAGGACTGCTGGTTTGAAAGAGGGGTCAAAGAGGCCATCAATGTCAAAATTGAACAGCCCTCTCTCAAAGAGTGGAGGGATATGACATTGACTATCTCCAGTCTACACTACAGTCCTTTCAACAGTGCCAAGAAGGCTCCACAGCCATTTGCACCACTCAGGTGACCCTGAGGACACAAATAAACCCCCAAGTGGCCTCAACAATTCTCTAAAAGAAGGCAAATGACCGGCTGTGTGGAAGGAGTATAAATCCTTCCATTCCCCACTATCCAGTCAGATCTGAGGAAGCTTCTTGGATGAGAAGAAAAACAAGAAAGTCCAGTTGCCTCTTGAAAAAGCACCTTTGGGACAACCATGACTTGGATGACTGAGAATCTCCATAGACAAATAGCAAATATACTTTCCTGTAATGTTTTCCAATGTCTCTTTCATTCTAGATTCATAGCCAAGAACTACCAGCACTTCATGGCCTTAGTATTTGCAATCACAGAGATCAACAAGGATTTAGTTCTCCTGCCCAACATCACCCTTGGATTCAATATCTATAGCAATTTCCAGATTGAGATGTCTATTTCCTCAAACAGCCTCTCTCTGCTCTCTACACGAGGCCGAATGGTTCCAGGTTATAAATGTGACAGGCAGGATATTCTGCTCTCTGTTGTTGGAAGTCTCAGCTCCAAATCCTCTAGGCTGATGGCCTCCATCTTCAGCATCTTTAAGGTTCCAAAGGTAAGGAGGCTTTATTCAATATAGTATGGAGTAGACCAGACATGTCAAACTCGCAATGTCATGTGACATCACGCAATGTATCGGGACAATTTTGCTATTGCTGGCAATGGGGTGGGCGCGTCTTCCAGATGACGTGTCCGGCCTGTGGGCTAGCAATTTGACACCCCTGGAGTAGACAATCAACAGAATCAGAATAGAACTGCAAGGGACCTTGAAGGTAATAATAATAATAATAATAATAATAATAATAATAATAATAATAATAATAATAATAATAATAATAATAATAATAATAATAATAATAATAATAATAATAATAATAATAATAATAATAATAATAATAATAATAATGATGATGATGATGATGATGGTGGTGGTGATGGTGATGATGGTGATGAAGTTGGAAGGGACCTTGGAGGTCATCTAGTCCAACCCCCTGCTCAGGCAGGAAACCCTATACCATTTCGGACAAATGGCTGTCCAGTTTCTTCTTAAAAACTTCTAGTGTTGGCGCATTCACCGCTTCTGGAGGCAGGTTGTTCCACTGGTTAATTGTTCTATCAGGAAGTTTCTCCTTAGTTCTAGGTTGCTTCTCTCTTTGGTTAGTTTCCACCCGTTGCTCCTTGTCCTGCCTTCAGGCGCTTTGGAAAATAGCTTGACTCCCTCTTCTTTGTGGCAGCCCCTGAGATATTGGAACACTGCTATCATGTCCCCCCTCGTCCTTCTCTTTGTTAAACTAAACATACCCAATTCCAGCAACCATTCCTTATATGTTTTAGGCTCCAGTCCCCTAATCATCTTTGTTGCTCTTCTCTGTACTCTTTCTAGAGTCTCAACATCTTTTTTACATCGTGGTAACCAAAACTGGATGCAGGATTCCAAGTATGGCCTTACCAAGGCATTGTAAAGTGGTATTAATACTTCACGTGATCTTGATTTTATCTCTCTGTTAGGTCTTCTAGTCTAGTCTGTTAGGTCTTCTAGTTCAGCCTCTTGCTAAATCAGGAAACCCTATATCATTTCAGAAAAGTGACTGTCCAGTCTCTTCTTAAAATCCTCCAGTGATGGAGCACCCACAACTTCTAGAGGCAAGCTGTTCCACTGGTTAAGTGTTCTCACTGTTAGGAAATTTCTCCTTAATTCCAGGTTGCTTCGCTCCCTGATTAGTTTCCATCCATTGCTCCTTGTCTTGCCTTCTGGTGCTTTGGAGAATCAATTGACCCCCTCCTCTTTGTGGCAGCCTCTCAAGCAAGGAAACAAAGAAAGAAGCCAAAGATAAAAACAAAAGCATTTGTGTGTGGGGGGGACATATGAGGAGTATGTGACTCAAAGAATCTACACTATAGTTGAATTCATTTTTGTGTTTTATTTAACACCAAAGGATAGTGATATATTTTCGAAGTGCTGCACTTGCCAACAAGGAATTCCTTTGTTATTCATCATAAAAGCTAAATATTTTAATGAATTTTATTCATTTTATTTTCTCAATCAGATTAAGTTGAGTCAATTTGAGTGAATTTGTTCCCTTGACTTCTGTCATGTCATAACCAGGCAAAATATGTAACTGGTGGTTCTTCCTAAGAAGGGAACTGTAAGGACCCACCTCACTTTACATCTTAAGAAGACATAACTCTTGGAATATCTCTTCCAACAGGCATCTTTATTAAGAGAAAATGATTGCAGGCATTCTAGACAGGATCTGAGGGATCAACCCCTACCATTCAATGTTTTAAGTGTTCCCAAGCAGCCCCCACCCCACAGTTCTTCTGGGCGATGATCACTCATCCTCTCTTTTCCCAAATACCAGGCATTGCATTGTTCCACCCCTTTTCCCTCACTGCCGGCAAAAGGGAGACTTCAGAGAGAGAGAGAGAGAGAGTAGATGAAAGGCGATGGCCATATTGTTATGGTCAGTCCTCTTGATGAGAATCAACCTCCAGTCACTTTGTAATTTAAATGAAGGAAGTGAGAGCCATAATAATCCCTTGCTTCCTCCTCCCCTTTCGTAATATGACAGAATCCAGAGAGAGTAAGAAATGGGTTTTTTTCAGAGTAGGTAGCTAGAAATGAAATATAATTGGATTCTGACAGGAACAACCTTAAGCTCATAAAGTTGCTGAGCCTGACTCATGGGGCAAGACAGGACACAATGATTTCCTGTTAAATCACTATAAATCTTTATCAAGAATCTCACTTTCTCCAGCTTGGTGTTGGCTTTGAGTTCTCTCAGGAAGATAAAACAGTTTATCCTTCCTTCTTCCGGATTAATCCCAGTGAATTTCCTCAGTATGTGGGTTTAGTGCAGCTACTCCTGCATTTCCAGTGGAACTGGGTTGGTCTTCTGGCCCCTGAAGATGACAGTGGAGAACGTTTCATCTCATCTCTGAGGCCAATGCTTGAAGAGAAAGAGATCTGCCTGGCCTTTATTGAAATGCTGAAATCAGATATTTTTGCTACTACACAGTTAAAATTGCTTCACATTTTCAAGATTTGGTCAAAAGCTGAAGTTATTATTCTGTTTGGAGACTCCAGTAGTATTGCAAATGTACAGGTAGCTGTGTATGGTCATGAAGTAATGAGAAACACACCATTTCGAAAAGTTTGGATCCTGACTTCTCATTGGAAACTTAATGTGGTGGGATCTAAAAACATATTGCAACTTATAAAGCCTTTCCATGGGGCTTTGCATTTTAGGTACCGCACTGGAGATGTCTCAGATTTCAACCATTTCCTCATGTCTTTGGACCCCCTGAATCCACAAGGGGACCTTTTTCTCTCTCCATGGTGGGAAAGGCTTTTTGGCTGCACGATTCGCAAACCAGGAGAGAGCCTTGAAAAGGGGAAAAAAACATGCACAGGAAAGGAGAATTTAGAGAATGTTCCAACTTACATATTTGAGAGAAGCATGACAGATGAAAGTTACAATATTTACAATGCCATTTATGCTGTGGCACACGCATTGCATGCAATGTATGGATCAGTAACCCAACCAATCATGAAGAGGCTTGGAAAGCGGAGCTCAAGTGTCCAGTCATGGCAGGTAATTTCTGTGATATTTTATCCAGTTTACAGATCCTTAGAGAGGAGTCTTTCCATATGTATTTCTTAAATTACTAATTATATATGTGTATTGTGAGAAGGCAGGCTGCCTAGAAAATGGCCAGTAGCTGGGCTGTTATTTCACCGTCCCTTTAAGACCTCTCCCTAACCAGAAACTGGTGGCTATAAAATTGAGCAGAGAGGCAGCTAACAGTTAGCTGTTGGGGTTGGTGTGTGATTATCTGGGGAAATAAAGCAGTCTGAAGCAGCCTAAAGTAGGTAGAGAAAGCTATTGTTTTCCAGCAGTAGGTCTCACAAGAAGTAATAATTGGAGGAACAGTGAAAGAGGTGTAGAAGAAGTGGGAAATGGAATAGTGAGCAGCGAGTACTGTCCTTTGCTTGCTTGTATGTGAATGTCAAGGGGTGTGTGTGCTTGTGTTGGCTCTTTTGGGTATTGGAGCCCACTTAATTGGGAATGTTACAGAACCTGTGACAAAGTGGTGGCAGAAGTGGGATACCCCCAAAAGTCAGCATAGCTGAAAAGTTGGGGCATCCCATAAAGTTGGAATAAACAAAAAGGGGAGAAATGCATAAGAATATGATATATATATTTAGAAGTAAGTCTTCATCCTGGTTCATCCAAGCCGGGAATAAATAAGCAAACATGGCGACTGCTTTGGGAAGAAGGTTACAGTTTATTGCAGAAGACAGATAAGCAGCAGAGGAGAAGAAAAAAAAAGTGAGCACATGGGCAGAAGGTCTTTTTATACCCCCCTCCCAGCCCTGCTTGGGATAGTTTCCTGTTCCTGTGGCATGAACTTTGAGGCTATTTCTGAGTGTTTTTCTAGGCCTTGATATCTGTGGTTTAATCCCATTATCATATCCTGCTTCCCAGGTGATGGGGCTAATGACTCTTAAGAGCTTCTTTTGTCTTGAGNTTTTAAAAATCCTTTTGGTGAACAATATCTTTCTTTCTGCCTTTTTAATATTTCCTTCTCTGAGTTAACTTCCCACAATATAATACAGAACAACAACCACACAAGTGGAGGAGCCTTACACTGAAAAAGTTCATTAAACATTCCTAAAATAGAATAGAATAGAATAGAACAGAATAGAAGGGAGAAGGGAGAGAGGAGAGAGGAGAGAGGTGAGAGGAGAGAGGAGAGAGGAGAGAGGGAGAATAGAATACTTTCATATAAAAGAAATAAACTACCCAGAGTCACTTTATAGGAGAGATGGCTGGCATAATGGTGGGATTGGTTCCTAACGTGCTATGTAACCTAGTAATTGGAACAGATTTGCCACTTACTGAAGGCTCAACTCAGAGAAAATTAGTCAAGACTAAGATGGAGTAACTACAAAGGCCCATCCAACACAAAGATAAGGCTAGAGTAGACACAGATACATAAAAGAAGCCATGACAATATATCTGAGAACAGATTAAAAAAAATTAAACAAATAATTAATTTATATGATGATCGAATATGAATGAAGTATAATCTTCACTGTCCATCTCTCTGGACAGTGAAGTGACAAACCAAGGCAGGCATTTCCTTTCACATGCTCCCCTCCCCAGTCAGACTACATTCTCCTGTCTTTGACTGTCAGCTAAAGAAACTCAGTGGAATTGTAAACTGCTCTGATAGAAATTATTTAATCATTCCTCAAGTTCTTGGTCCAAAGTAAACATTTTAAAATGTACATAGCCAATTATCACAGGAATAAAACCATACAATGATTTTTGTAGTATGCATTAAAATTTTCTTGTTCAGGAATCAGACTTGAAGAAACTATCATACAAATGCCCAGTGATAAAGATATACTTTTGTAGAACTAAAGAGAAACTTCCTGACAGTGAGAACAATTAACCAGTGGAACAACCTGCCTCCAGAAGGGTTGAATGCTCCAACACTGGAAGTTTTTAAGAAGAGACTGGACAGCCATTTGTCTGAAATGGTGTAGGGTTTCCTGCCTGAGCAGGGGGTTGGACTCGATGACCTCCAAGGTCCCTTCCAACTTTATTATTATTATTATTATTATTATTATTATTATTATTATTATTATTATTATTATTATTATTATTATTATTATTATTANTAATAATAATAATAATAATAATAATAATAATAATAATAATAATAATAATAATAATAATAATAATAATATTTGTTGTTACTTCTGATTACTCAGATCTCCACCAAGGCAACTCTTGCTTCTTTGACATTCACACATCTCCTAATATGATGGCCATCACAGAATGATAGAAGCCACTATGTCCTTCAGCAAAGTATTCCAATTTCTGAAGGTCTCTTTTCTTTCAGATTCTTTGCTATATGAAGAATGTCCAGTTCAACAACAATGCTGGATATGAAATCTCCTTCTCAGAACATGGATTGGGATCAGCTCAATATGATCTTCTCAATTGGCTTCTCTATCCCAATCAATCTTTTGTCCCCACAAAAGTTGGGCAAATAAATCCCAGGGCTCCCCCAGGCCAGGATTTCACCATTAACAAAGATGCAATCATCTGGGCCATAAAGGTGAGCTGGAAGGAAATGTTGTAATTTCATGGAAAGATTCATTCTCTCCTGGGCATGCAGAACATCCTACCAACTGAACAACAGGTCTATTGAATCAGGAAACATGGCAGCCATTTGGTGAATAAAAACTGCTTTTCATGTAACATATTTGAATTCTGACTTGTGTCAATCCACAAAAGGTTGGGATTGGGAAGAATGTCTGCTTGAAACCCAAAATGCAATCGGAGCCAGAAACAGTGATTTCCAGAGACTGTTCCTGTTCAAACAGATCCTTGTAATTCTTTGTCTTAGCTATAGTGCAATGTCACAATTCTTGTTTTGAATGCCAAGATCCCAGTTCCAACTCCAGCATCCATTGGCCAGAGTCTAGAGAGTCACTTATCTGAAATGGTATAGGTTCTCCTGCTTGAGCAGGGGGCTGGACTAGAAGACCTCAAGAATAGGTCCCATTCTGTTCTGTTCTATTCTATTCGAGTCCCCCATGAGGTATTCTTGGTTTCTAGTAGACCCTGGAGAACCTTTCTTTTGAAGACATTCTGAAGATGAAAATAAGAATGTGGATTGCAGTAAATGAAGCACATCAATTGCTTAGGTTATCTTCAGCATTTCTGTTTTCTCTTTTAGAAGGTGCCCTTTGCCAGGTGTGGCATGAAGAGGTGTAATGTAGGAGAGAGGAGAAATGTTCCAGAGGGTGAACAGGTGTGCTGCTACCAATGTAGCCCTTGTCCAAAAGGGACCATTTCAAATAAGACAGGTAAAGCAGACCTCAAATGAAGATCTTTCAGGATGAAGCAATCAAAATATTTATTGTTGTTCTTGTCATTTTTGGTTAGATTGACATTCCTCAAAGCAGTCATATTTTTCAGCAGAAACTTTCACTTTATTTACAGTATCTAAAGTCCTCTGACCCCCAGGTCACTTTTTCCATCTCTCATCAACTTAATGCAGTGTAGTTTGACGGCAAAATTCATAGATTTCCCACTAGTCTTTCCACTACTATTGTCAAATCAAATTGGGAAGACAAATTTCCAGTCTTTTCCTAAGATTTGTGCTTCAGGCTATTCACGTGTGCTTCTTTTGTCAACTCAGGAAATTATTATTTTCCAAGAAATTATTATACCTGTCTGAGAAAGAAAAGATCTGTCTGCCTAAATGTCCTAGGGTCTATGACAACTTGCCACTGCCAACTCACCACGGCCAACTTGTCACAGGACAACTTACTGCAGGACAAAAGTTATACTAATATCAAAGAAATAGGACTAGGATCATTGAAGAAAAGATGCCAAAGGAGGGATGAAATGAAATGTGAATGATAAAAATTAAAATATTTTTAAATTATTTAAAATAATTAAATTTAATTGTTGAATTGTCCCACAGCGAGTTAGCTGTGGTAAGTTGTCCCATTCCAATCTCCTAACCCTTCCCTACCAAAAAAGTCAGAAAGAGCAGATGTGAAGTACAAAGCAGAGAAATTGACCCAGAGATAATCAAAAGATAATGTACACACAAACAAAATACAGTGGTACCTTGGTACTCATCATTAATTGGATCCATCAGGCATAATGAGTACCAAAAACCATGAGTACCAAACCAATTTTTCCCATAAAGAATAATGTAGTAAGGCACAAGGCAGCCAACACCAAGAAATTCAAGCTTGTGAGTTGAGTACAAGCAAACAATGAGTACTGGGACAAACATTTTGCATCAAAGTGTGTTGAGTACCAAATTTGATGAGTTTCAAATCAGTTGAGTACCAAGGTACCACTGTAGCAGGTTTCCTGGATGACGGATCTAACAGTCTTCTGGGGGTTCCAGTATAAACTATAGAATGGTTATGGTTTATAGTTGGAAATCGCTTGCACTGAAAGCCACAGTATTTATGAAAATTGCCAGTGACTTGAGGGGGTATTTTTTCCCATAGCAAACTGACCAAGCCAGTTCAGGCTGAACAGATAGTGATCACTAGCTAAATTATCCCCAGAGTCATCATGAAGGATTATTTGATGCAGCATAAAGTGCACAGTGGGTCATTCCACCATTATATTAGTGAGTTGGCCACAATAGAATGGGGACATTCATGTCAAGCTTGAGGGAGGAATGATACTCATGGCAGATGTGCTTGAAATCCTTTGGACAACTTTTGATTTCAGATGCAGCCCAATGTGACCCTTGCCCAGAAGACCAATACCCCAACAAGCACAAAGTCCACTGTATTGCCAAGAAGCTCCACTTCCTTGCCTATCAAGAGACCCTGGGATACACTTTAGTATCTTTAGCTCTTTCTCTCTCTGTGATCACATCCGCAGTTCTGATGATTTTCCTTAAACATTGTGATACAGCAATTGTCAAAGCCAACAACCGAGATCTCACCTACATCCTCCTGGTCTCCCTCCTGTTTTGCTTCTTCTGCACCTTCCTTTTCATTGGTCAACCCACGAAGCTCACCTGTCTCTTCCGACAAACTGCCTTTGCAATTTTCTTTTCCTTTGCTGTTTCCTCTATCTTGGCAAAAACTGTCATGGTGGTTCTGGCCTTCATGGCCACCAAGCCAGGGAACAAGACAAGGAAATTCTTAGGAAAACCACTGACCAACTCCATTGTCTTAGCCTGTCCCCTGGTCCAAGCAGTTCTTTGTGCCATTTGGCTGGGAACCTCTCCGCCATTTCCCAAATTTGACTTCCACTCCTTGTTTGGAGAGACCATCTTGGAATGTAATGAAGGCTCAACTTCAATGTTTTACCTTGTCCTGGCCTATCTAGGTTTTCTGGCACTAATCAGTTTCATGGTAGCATTTCTGGCTAGGAAGTTGCCTGACAGCTTTAATGAAGCCAAGTTCATTACTTTCAGCATGCTGGTCTTCTGCATTGTTTGGATCACCTTCCTCCCCACCTACCTGAGCACAAAAGGGAAGTCCATGGTGGCCGTGGAGATCTTCTCCATTTTGGCCTCTGGAGCTGGTCTCCTGGCTTGTATCTTTTTCCCCAAATGCTACATTATCCTACTGAGACCCAATCTTAATTGCAGAGAAAGCATCATAAGAATTTCTAATTAATGCAGGTATAGACACATTTATATTTATTATTAAGGAATATTTAGAATGTAATAAGATTTTAATATGTAATGTTACATGTGATTTTAAATGTAATAAGATGTATCTTTTAAACCCTCCTTGGGCTTTGTTGCTATTATCATCAAAAAGTCTTGATGCTCTGTTATGTGAGGCAGGAAAAAATCCAATTGGATTTTTAAGATTTTACAGTCTTTTGGAATAGTAGGAAAGACTAACTTTAGCCCATGTTCTCAGTGTAGAGCAGCATTTATGACAAATTTATGAAGTTTTATGTTCAAATTTATGAACTGGGCATGGCTAGTCTATTGAAGAGAAAAACCAGGGGTGACATGATAGCAGTATTCCAATATTTGAGGGGGCTGTCACAGAGATGAAAGGGACAACCTATTTTCCAAAGGACCCAAAGGCCAGAAGGAACAATGGATGGAAACCGATCAAAGAGAGATTCAACCTAGAAATACAGATACATTTTCTGACAGTGAGAACAACCAACCAACGGAACAAGTTGTGGGTGCTTCATCATTGGATGAGATTGGACTAGACAGCCACTTGTCAGAAATGGTATAGGATCTCCTTCTTGAGCAGAGGGTTGGACTAGATGACCTTCAAGGTCTCCTCTAACTGTCATTCTGTTCTGTTAGAACAATTTTGCAATTCTAGAAACAAAGTAAGATTAAGTGGATTCTGCCCTGGTAGAGATCATGTTCTTCCTGAATGAAGAATTCACACATAACCCCTGAAGTCAAAGGATCTTAGCTCAAAGGATCTCATTTCCCCCTTGCCATGATCATCTGCTAAGAAAAACAATCAGACAACTAAGGGGAACTCAGTCCAGAGTTGTCTTTCAGGCAGCCAACCAGATGCCTCTGCATTGACCCCAAGCAGGAGAAACACACCCCTCATTTTTATTGCTCTCCTCTCCTGCAACTGCTATACAGAGGCAAGTGGTTTACAACTCATAAGGGATACTAAGTCATCAGGACTGATATAACCCTTCTTTTCCTAGGCATTTTCTAATTTCTGTGCTTGGTCTCCCATGCCCTGGTCATCTCCCATTTGGCCTATTGCAATGTGCTCTAATTGGGACTATCCTTGAAATGTGTCTAGAAGCTTCAGCTGGGCCAAAATGTGGCCATGCAAGCAAACCTGGCTGGCCCAAAGAACAGCACATGTAATGCCTTTGTTGCATGAACTGCACTGGATGCCAGTTTGCTTCCAGATCCAATTCAAGGTGTTGGTTATGACCTTTCAAGCACTACATGACAGACCAAGCTACCTATGGAACCATCTTCATCTCAAAGTATCAGCCTGTTCCACCTGGTCAGGCAGGGGAAGTATGTTGAGGACCCTGTCAGTTAAAGAATTATGACCGCAGAGTGCAGGAGGGGAGCCTTCCCTGCCATTGCCTCCACCCTATGGACCACTCTCTCTACAAAGGTGAGGTGAGCTCCTACTCTCCTGACCTTCCAGAAAAGTGTGACAACATAGTTCTGCAGCCTTGCATGGGGAGCACAGATGAGCCTGCAGCCATGGATCTGGTCAGTGGTCTTAAAACCCTCCAGCTGCCTTTTAATTAATGTTTAACATTGTTTTTAACATTGCCTCCTTTTAACATTATTTTTAACATTGCCTCCTTTTAATTTTTTTATACTGTTTATGTTTTAATATTTTATTTTATACTGTTTATGTTTTAATATTTTATTGAACACTGCCCAAAGTCCCTTGGTGTGGGAGATGAGAATTTCAAAATGTGATAATAAAATAAAACGAATCAATTCATTCATTAAACAATTACTCTTGAGAGGTTAGTAGCTGGTATTACATTTTCTGAAACAGATTCCTTTGGATGCTTCTATGTTGTGTGTAGCAGAACTAGAGATGGGGAGCATGGGGCATTTCACTTGTGAGTTCTCTTTTAAACTGTACCCGATTGGATTGTACTAGACCCAAAAGATCCACAAAAACATTACTATTAGCTCTATGCTATATTATACTGTGTCTATTACTAGTATACCATTGCTACTATTCTACTACTACTACTACTATCAATACACTAGAATAGAATGTTATATAGTAGAGTAGAGTAGAGTAGAACAGAACAGAACAGAACAGAACAGAACAGAACAGAACAGAACAGAACAGAATAGAATAGAATAGAATAGAATAGAATAGAATTTGGAAGGGAGCTGGTGGGTCATCCTGATGGGATCAAGGTTGATTCAGCCTTCCATCCTTCCATGGTCAATAAAATGGGGACCCAGATTTTGGGGGACAATATGCTGACTCTGTAAAACTGCTTAGAGAGGGCTGTAAAGCACTGTGAACTGGTATATAAGTCTAAATGCTATTGCTATTGTGAGGAAAATAAATTCTCAGAGCATGTCTGCAGAGTAGAATCATAGATGGAATACATGTTAATCAAACAGAGACATAGATGCCTTAAGTTTCTAGCTCAGAAGAACTTTTAGCAAAAATTTTATAACAACCTACTTTCTTTTTCTAAGACAAGGATTTTTATTTTTTTTTTGAAGATTATAATAGTAAAAGATCAAGGAGTAACTTGAAAGTTGTTAATTATGAATATGTGCACTTATATCACTCATTGGAAAAGGCCCCGATGTTGGGAAAGATTGAAGGCCAAAGGAGAAGGGGATGGCAGAAGATGAGATGTTTAGATAATGTCATTGACACAGTGAAGATGTGTGTGGGCAGACTCTGGCAGACAGTGGAGGTCAGGGAGACCTGGCATGATATAAGGTTGTGAAGAGTCAGACATGACATAACAGCTGGAGAACAACTATTCCAATCCAAGGAGCCAATACAGAAAGATCACATGGTTAATGATATTGAAGGCCACTTAGAGGTCAAGTAGAACCAGGATGGATACACTATCTGCATCCTACTCCTAAAATACAAGTAACGCTCTTTCCATCCCAGCCCTGAAATCTGACTGAGGTGGGCCTAGACAATTTGCTTCATCCCAGGTCTTCTACAACTGTTGTGTTATCATCCATTGCTGCTTGTGTCTGCTATGATGAAAACAAAGATTGTTCCTCCTCATCTAACAGTCTTCAGGCATTTTGACAAAATTCTCCTGTAGAGTTTAAATTATCCTAATATCTCTGTCTAATTTCAAGACCTATGAGAGAAGTTTCCATCTAATTTAATCCCGTCACATTGGCATAAATCAACCAGTTATTCCATCCAAACATTGGTATAATCACTCACATTTACTAGGGTACAGCTGTTTGCCATGTGCCACTATGCCCCATTAGCACACTTTCTATCTGAACAAACTATGACACAGGTGCTCAGTTTCATGAAACTCAAGAGACACATGAACATGTTTTTTCCTCTTCTGATGCAAAAAATAATAATCTAGCACTCGGACAATTTCTTTTCTTTGCAATTGCCAGAAGAACAGTAATTCTTAATGTGTCGCCTGGAGATTTCTACTCTCACAATTCTTCCAAGATAAAACCTGTTATAAAAAAAATATGCGCTTAGTTCTCCCAGTAGGGGGAGGATGTGTCACTTTGCCTTGCTTTGCAAAAAGCAAACTCCTGGGTTTGGTGAGGCTCAGCGGATCTTAGTTTTGTCTTTGGTCGCAGCCAAAACACAGGTAAGACGAAACACGTTTCATATAAATTTGCATTGGGGCCATCGAGGTGGAATGAGCAGACTGTGCTGAGACTCTGGTGAGATTTCAAATGATAGCTGCAAATCAGCTTCTGCAAAAATCAAACCTTGATTTCTGATCTAGGAAGGAAGGTGACAAGAATGGCTGGGCTGCCTCTCCTCCTGCTGCTGCTCTTCTGGTTCTTGCCTCCAACTTCTCCAACATCTGCTAGGAGGATGCAAACCAAATATGTGTTGCCAAAACGTTTACAGATTCGGGATTACTATTACAGGCCTGGTGATCTCATTATTGGTGGGAATTTGCCCCTTGGTGTCTATTTTAATAGTGCTAGCCTAGACTTTAAAATGGACCCATTATGGTATTCTATTCAATTTTTGTAAGTTTCATCAGGGGGACAATGATGTAGATGATTGTTGGCTTTGTTTGCTCAAAAATATTTGATCTAGTGATGTTTCAATGTCCTAGTGTAGTTCAAACCTTTGTGTATTTCTAAATAAAGAGTCAAGCTGATAAAACAGGCTAGATTCCCAATCTTTCTAGAATTATCAGGAAGATGATAAAACTACGTACAGAGAGATGAGGGCCAACACATTAGGAACCTCACTGACCTAGTAAGAAGATGGCTTGCACTGTTAATTTGGAAAATAAGTCAAGATGGAACATTCAAGGAAAAGCTCAAAATGGCTCCTGCATGGGACATCCTGCTCCAAACAACCCCCCACAAAGATAAAAGACAAGGCAAACACACACAAGCACACACAAGCTTTCCTGTATTATTTCACAATGTTTCTCTCACTATAGACCCATACCCAACAACTACCATCAGTTCCTGGCCTTGGCGTTTGCTGTTAGAGAGGTCAACAAGGATCTGGTTCTCCTCCCCAACATCACCCTTGGCTTCCACATGTATGACAATAGCCAGTGGGAACGGAGGATTTCTTTAATCAGCCTCTTTCTGCTCTCCACACATGACCAAATGGTTCCAGGTTATAAATGTGACCAGCGGGACACTCTGCTCTCTGTAATTGGAGGTGACAATGCCAAATCCTCAAGGCAGATGACCTCCATCTTCAGCATCTTCAAAGTCCCACAGGTAAAGGGGCTTTTTTATATAAGGGTGTAGGTTTATACATATGTTGTGTATAGCATGTTTAAATGTGTGTTATGTTTGTGTACACTTTGAGAGCAAGCAACTAATTTTCATTTTTAATGTGTGCCAATATGCCCACAGTAAAAGATGACAATAAATGTTATCTATCTATCTATCTATCTATCTATCTATCTATCTATCTATCTATCTATCTATCTATCTATCTATCATCTATCTATCTATCATCTATCAATCCTTTAGATATAGTTATGGAATAGACAAACAATAGAAAAATACACAGAAGAGCAAAATGACTCCAAAGGTGTCGGGGAGGGTTCACTTTAATATGTTATGTGTCGAGATATGTTTCATATAATGTAAATCATTGGTTGATGGTTTCTTCCTTTGGATTCTAATATGTCACCACTTTGCAAATATGTTAATTGGTGGTTCTTCCTAAGAAGGGAAGATGCTTATCCCTCAAAATGACTCAGCTTAACTGATGGGGTCAATAAACCACACAATGGGGAGCATCAAATTTTGCTTTATCTTTTTAAAAAAATTCTCACTTTCTCCAGCTCAGTATTGGCTTTGAGTCCACTTGGGGAGACAGAAGAATTTATCCTTCCTTCATCCGGATTAATCCCAAGGAATTTTCTCAGTTTGTGGGTTTAGTCCAGCTGCTCCTGTATTTCCAGTGGAACTGGGTTGGGCTTCTGGCCACTGAAAGTGAGAGTGGGGAACATTTTATCTCAACTCTGATGCCAATGCTCAAGGAAAATGAGATCTGCCTGGCTTTCACTTATATAATGAAAGATGAGTCTGAAAAGCATATGGTCCAGTTACTTTTACATTCCAAAATGTGGCTTACAGTTGACATCATTGTTTTCTTTGGAGACTCTGGAACTGTTGCAGCTTTTCAGTGGGGTCTATATATCTATGTAAAAAATGAAAGGGGATCATTTCAGAACGTTTGGATACTAACTTCCTCTTGGAAACTTAGTGTAATGCATTATGTAGATATATGGCAAACTCTAAAGCCCTTGCATGGGGCTTTGCACTTTAGGGACCACATCAGTGATATCACAGAATTCAGCCACTTCCTCCGATCTTTAGACCCTTTGAACCCTCAAGGCGATATGTTTCTCCCATTATGGTGGGAAAAGGTTTTTGTTTGCAACTTTCCCAAACCATATAAATTTTCTGCAGACTGGATGAAAAACTGTACTGGGAAGGAAAAGTTACAAAATGTACCATCTTCCCTGTTTGAAACAAGAATGACTGGTGAAAGTTACAACATCTACAATGCCATTCATGCTCTGGCACATGCTTTACATGCAGTACATGAATCTGGAGGACGACCAGCCATGATGAGGCTTGGAAAGAGGATCTCAAGCTTCCAGTCATGGCAGGTAATCTCTGCAACCTTTTATCCAGTCCACAGATCCTTAGAGTGGAAGTTGCTACAGCTGCCAAAAAAGCCAACACAGTGCTGGGCTGCATTAACAGAGGGATAGAATCAAGATCACGTGAAGGCCCTCCCCCTGGGGGTCGCCAGTCGGCCAAACAGTGTCGGCTGGCGACCCCCAGGGGGAGGGCCTTCTCTGTGGGTGCCCCCACCCTCTGGAACGAACTACCCCCCGAGATCCGGATGATTCCGGATCTCCTCACTTTCCGCCGCGCCCTCAAGACATGGCTTTTCCAGCAAGCGGGCCTGACCTAAGGAGGATTTTATTTAGGGACGATTTTAAGTATA